ATATATATATATATATATATATATATATATATAAAATTGATTTTCTATTAAATAATAGCGATGTTTTTGACGTGGCCGGAAAGATTTCAGGGATATTAATATAAAAATAGAGGTGCTAGATATGTAAATACCTAAGAATAAGGTGGTATTCATGTAAATGCATTTTTTTTTCAGGTTGCGCTGACTCAACTATAATGACAACTAGACTCTTGTCCTCTTGCAAGGCTTTCAGATCAGATTAGACTCTGCCACATGGCTGATAACTATTGGGTCCAGTGTCGATTTCGCATATATTAGGAAAATATTCATTTATTTTTTATTAAGAAAAACTTGGGGCATTTACATACATACCACACAATTTATTTGTATTTATATATACACCTAAAATTATTTCTTACACATTAACATCACATCAAATGTACTATTTCTTTTTTACTTTATATAGGTTTGTAACATAAAAAATTGAAATTTATACTCAAAATAGATTTGTAACATGAATCACTGAGTTGCATCACACACAAAAATTCACTATAAAGAAAATGAGAATTTGTATACAAATTATATCACACTCAGGTCTCTCTAAGCATTTAGACATAAAAAGACACAATCAACTCCTTGTAGAGAGAATTTGAAATCTCATACATCTACAATCAACAAAAATGAGAAGTTAAGCGAAAACAACTCAAAGTCAGTTATTGTTGTTGAGGCGTCGCGATAGTGGCACCACGATACTCTGATGAGCGTTGGGGCGCTACAATGTCTTGCTAGTGGGTTTTGAACTTGAATCTAGAGCTACAACGTTATCTTCTGGGCACTAGGGCATCAGGTAACGCTGTCAAATTTATTGTCAGGTCTGATGTGTGAAATTGAGGGCTCTGAGTGAACGATTGATTGACACAATAAGACTCCACAAAATAACAATCCACTCTATATTACTCAACATTTCTCGGTTTACAAATCTTCCATTCACTAAATTTATCATAATCAACAAAGGCATGAGACATTAAGAGAGTATGCGTTGACTAAGCTTCTGGATGGCATCATCCCAGCGCATACCGCGTACGACAAAGACCTCGCAAAGTCTCTTCGGCGGAGGTTCGGCAGCTTCGCGGAAGTTTCTCAGCATCTTCTCTCTGTAAATTTCCATAGAATTTAACGAACCTCCCCCATGCTCTTATAAATCGACCCTTATAAGCTTTCATTTCTCTTCATCTTCCATCACACATCAAGCTCTCCTCCCCTCTTCTTCTTCTTCTTCTTCCTCCTTCTGGTTTTCTACCCTTCTTTTCAGCCAGTTACAGCTTCCCCTGCTTCAAAAATGGCCGCCAAGAGGCTCCTTGAGGATTCAGCTAACATCCCAGACAAACAGGACGGCAAGAGAGTCAGACGCTTGCCATCATTCACAATGTCCGTCATACAAATCTGGAGAAATTTACTTACATGCCACACAGTTCCTTTGTATTACCAGCAGTGAAAAATGCTTATAATTAATGATGAAATGTGCTTATAAGAATTATTTCACAGGGTTATCAGGAAAGCATTGGCAGCAGATTGTATAAAGAACCTATGCCTTGCGTTAGAACCACTTCTTCGAAGAGTGGTATGCTGAACCTCATTTCAAGCATGCTGGTTTTAACCTGCCCCATCATCCTCGATTTTTTGGAGCCAGTCTAAGGTTTTCCTTCATGTTTGCTTTGGTTTTCACAGGTGCAGGAAGAGGTGGAACGGGGGCTTCTTCGTCGTGCTTGTTTGTTGCAGAGGTGGGAATACTAACATATTTTTGTAAGATTTTTATAAGTAATTTCTTATAAAAATTTGGTTTTGATAGCTCCAATTGTTGTAGAATTTGCTTTGAAATGGTTATAATATGTGATTAAGCCATTAAAACAAAGTACCTATCATAAAACAAATCTAACAAATTTAAAATTGGAAGTTTTACATACATACCACTCAGCTTCTAAACTTCTTATCTATGCAAGAAATATATATTGTTATGATATAAATGTAAAAAAGAAAAATTTAAGTGTTGGATATTTACATAGGAATTGAGTAGCTTGTAAAGGGCATTTAAATTCATACCATTCAATTCATATATATTTACATATCTAACTCAAAAGGTTTAATTTTTATATTTACATCACTTAAATATCTCATGTTATATCAAAAATATCACTAGTTTAACTTTCAAAAAGTGCAATATACTTTTCATATATATAACATAATATGCATGTAAAAATTAAAGTTTCAGATATTAGATATCTAATCATACATAAAAACGAAGTGATAGTGTGATATGTATGAAAAAATTTGCCCAAAATTTCAAAATAAACCAATTATCTTCACACAAAATAAAGCAAAAAAACAAAATAAACTAACATTATAAAAATCTCTCCTTTTTTTTTTATAGATCACCTCAAATGCTCATAGAAGAACCAAAACCATGTTCTGCTCTGAAACTAATCTTCAAAGAACCACCATCTCTTCCAATCTTTACTGAGAATAGAATCGAAGGCGATGATGGCTTCCCCTTACAGATTCTCATCAGAGAAACAGATACAGGAGCGAAGCCCACAACAGCTCTCCCCTCATCAATCAAGCTTGAGATAGTGGTTCTCAATGGAGATTTTCCTTACGACGATTCTGAAAACTGGTCCAGTTCTGAATTCAATCGTTATGTGGTTAAAGAAAGGAGAGGAAAAAGACCACTTCTTACCGGAACTACTGCCGTCACACTTAAAGATAGAGTGGCCGCCATTGATGAGCTTAAATTCACTGATAATTCGAGCTGGACGAGAAGCGGAAAGTTCAGAATTGGGGTTAGAGTTTCATCGGAGCATCATCAGATTTTAAGCATTCGAGAAGCTGTGAGCAGTCCTTTCAAGGTTAAAGATCACCGAGGAGAAAGTAATTGATTTTAAGAAGTTTGTTAACAGAAATAAATCGTTTGTGAATGATTATCAGATTAACAAAGCTGTGGATTTTATGATATTATTGCAGTTAATAAGAAGCACTATCCGCCATTACTGAGCGATGAGGTCTGGAGGCTGGAGAAGATTGGGAAAGATGGAGTCTATCATAAGAGATTGGTGGAAAAGAACATTAACACCGTGCAGGATTTTCTGAAGCTCTCAGTTATTGATTCTGCACAACTGAAAAAGGTAAAGTAGCAGCACTTCTGATTCATCTTATTGAA